GGGGGGGGGGGAAGACCGTGGAGCAAAAGCTTAAAGCTTTCTACAGCGTTTGGTGGTAATGGGGGGATAGTTCCCCCCTCTCACGTCATGTCGACGAGTAAGGGAAAAGCTTAAAACATTATTACGATTACAATAAAGGAAAATTGACAAGCAAGAAAGAAAAGTGAAATAAGCGATGATTTGATTATTCAATGTCTGATGCTATGGAAGTCTCTTAACTCCGCCAGCTCTCTCTCTCTCTCTCTCTCTCTCCCTCTCTCTCTCCCCCTTATCTACAAAATCCCCGAAAATTTCGTTCTCCACGAACCCAACGACCGCCGCCGTCACCATGCTCTTCTCTCTGCCGTCGGCGATCTCCGCCGGGAAATCCTATCTCCGTCAGAACCCTCTGTAATTCTCCCTCTTATCCAAAGCTTTCGGCTTTGACGCACTATAATACCTACTGTGCATCTCTTGCTTAAGCCCCTTCAATGGCGTCAACGCCTCCTCACTGCTCGATCACTGCCACAAAACCCTACCAGAACCACCAGTACCCTCAGAACCATCGCCAGACCCGCCAACAACCTAAATACCATCGCCCATGGGCCCCGCAACGGTTCTCTCCCTCACCACGCGGCGGACCCAGAACAGCTCCTCCGTCCTCCTCCTCCGCCGCCGCCGCCGGTCCGCTCTCGCAGACTCCTGCCCTTTTCCCTGCGTTATCTCCTCTGCAAACCCCGAAACCGGATCTGTCTCCGGACTTCTCGGGTCGCCGATCGACCCGGTTCGTCTCCAAGATGCACTTCGGCCGACCCAAAACCACCATGGCCACTCGACACAGCTCCGCCGCGGAAGACGCGCTCCAGCTCGCTATCCAATTCTCCGGAGACGACCAAGGGCTCCACGATCTGCTCCTGAGCTTCGAGTCCAAGCTCTGTAGCTCCGACGACTACACTTTCATACTCCGCGAACTCGGGAACCGAGGTGAGTGCGAGAAAGCTGTTCGCTTTTATGAGTTCGCTGTTAAACGAGAGAGGAAGAAGACTGAGCAAGGGAAGTTAGCGAGCGCCATGATCAGTACTCTTGGTAGGTTAGGTGAAGTTGGCATTGCAGAGAGAGTCTTCGAAACCGCCATGGCTGATGGGTATGGTAACACTGTTTATGCGTTTTCTGCTCTAATTAGCGCCTATGGACGAAGTGGGTATCACAAGGAAGCCATTAGAGTCTTCAACTCCATGAAAAACTATGGCTTGAGGCCGAATCTAGTGACCTACAACACTGTGATCGATGCGTGTGGAAAAGGGGGGATGGAGTTTAAGCAAGTAGTGGAGTTCTTCGACGAAATGCTGAGGAACGGGGTGCAACCCGATAGAATAACTTTCAATTCTCTGCTTGCTGTTTGCGGTAGAAGCGGACTGTGGGAGGCAGCGAGGAATTTGTTTGAAGAGATGTCGAGTAGAGGGGTCGAACAGGATATCTTTACGTATAATACTCTTCTGGATGCGATTTGCAAAGGTGGGCAGATGGATTTGGCATTTGATATCATGGAACAGATGCCCAGGAAGAACATCATGCCTAACGTTGTAACTTATAGCACAGTGATTGATGGCTATGCTAAGGCTGGTAGGTTCGATGAAGCTCTTAACTTGGTCGGTCAAATGAGGTTTCTCGGTGTCGCACTTGACAGGGTTTCATACAATACTCTGCTTTCGGTTTACGCTAAACTCGGTAGATTCGAAGAGGCACTGGATGTTCTTAAAGAAATGGAAACTGTCGGGATTAGGAAGGATGTCGTGACTTACAATGCTCTTCTTGGAGGGTATGGGAAACAGGGGAAATACAACGAGGTGAAAATCGCTTTCGGGGAGATGAAACGGAAGGGTGTCTCGCCTAATATACTGACTTACTCAACCTTGATTGATGTGTATTCGAAAGGGGGATTGTACAATGAAGCGATGGAGGTGTTTATGGAGTTTAAGAGTGTAGGTTTAAAGGCTGATGTCGTGTTATATAGTGGGTTAATCGATGCCTTGTGCAAGAACGGGTTGGTAGAATCCGCTGTTTCTTTGCTCGATGAGATGACGAAGGAAGGCATTAGGCCGAATGTTGTAACTTACAACTCCATGATCGATGCATTCGGCCGGTCCATAGCCACAGAATCTTTAGCTGATGCTGCAGATGATAACAGTGGATCCAATGGCTTAGAATTTGAATCTTCATCTTCCTCCGATTCGTCCACTTGGGCAGTCGGGAAAGACGACTCGAGAAATGAATTGACTGAAAGAGAGGATAACCGAATCATAAAGATTTTCGGGCGGTTAGCCGCCGAGAGAAGTAATCGGGTGAAGAAAGACTGTAAGGAGAGTAGACAAGAGCTCTTCTTTATACTGGAAGTTTTCCGTAAAATGCATGAGCTTGAAATAAAACCAAACGTCGTAACCTTCTCCGCCATCCTGAATGCTTGCAGGTATGTATGTATATGTATATGTGTGTATATATATGTATATGGGTGGATGGTGATGATGATTCTTGATGCATGTTTTGATTGATGCAGTCGATGCAACTCATTTGAAGATGCGTCAATGCTACTAGAGGAGCTTCGGCTTTTCGATGGCCAGATATATGGCATTGCGCATGGACTCCTTATGGGCTACCAAGAAAACTTGTGGCTCCAAGCTCAGACCCTTTTCGACCAAGTGAAGACAATGGACACTTCAACTGCTTCTGCCTTTTACAATGCTCTAACCGACATGTTATGGCACTTTGGTCAGGTAATATCTCCTCTGTTTGACTGTTACTAACTCCTTGGATATGTTAAAACTTAAAAGGCTAAAATTTGGATTACTGCCTGAAATTGACGGTCCATGTCATAAAGTAGGGATGACACGGGTCGGGTTACCCAAACTCGAACCAGAATGCGAATGTCTTGTGTCTCACTAGATATTACCCAATCTTATATTCGTTTTGGTCGGGTGACTGAACATCGAGATAATTTTTGGGTACCCGAACCCGAGTTTAAATACGAAACTTTGAACCTTTTTTTTTTTCAAAATAAATATCATGTATTAAGAGTGTGGTCTCAAGTCGTGTATCCAAGATCTTCTGATTATCCAAACCTGAAATCTCAGGAGATTTCAATAGGTTAATGTGTAATATATCTAAAACCTAGGGATAAAAATGCCAGTTTACTGTTTATTCAGGTCCCCGTGTAGAATATCCCATTCATGGATCCAATAAACTGACCTGAGTTTCGGGGTTTCCTCACGTTATAACTCGATATATCCGGTCTCATATAGTGTTTGGGTTCCCAATCTGTAGGTGGGGTTGCGTACCCGAAATCGGGGTTTTTTTTTAATAGCCTTGGAAAGGCTTAATCTTTGTCGACCTTTTTTAACAGAAACAAGGAGCGCAAATGGTGGTGCTCGAGGGGAGACGTAGGCAAGTTTGGGAGAATGTGTGGTCTGATTCATGCTTGGACTTGCACCTCATGTCATCCGGTGCGGCCCGTGCAATGGTCCATGCATGGCTTCTTAACATACGCTCCATCGTCTACCGAGGCCACGAGCTACCGAAACTCTTGAGGTATACACTAAAACCCGTCTCATCCTATCTACTACGGTTTATAGAAATCCAACTCTCTGAAAACTAGAGTTGGTCATTTCGAGTTTCAATTCAGTCGTAGAAAAACTATAAACCGTTCGATTTTTATGTTGGATTTGGTCCGGTTTTATTGATAAAAATACTCATTTTTCAAAGGAAATTTTTATTGTTTTATTCGGTTCGGGTCAGTTGGGTTACGGTATTCATTGATACAAATACTCATTTTTTTAGAAAATTTTGGGTTTTTCGGTTATTATTAATGGATAAGGTTCTGTGTTATTCGGTTAAAATGACCGAATTGACCCCACCCATACTAAGAAAACATTTTGGCAGCATATTGACGGGATGGGGAAAGCATAGCAAAGTGGTGGGAGACGGGACGCTAAGGCGAGCGGTGGAAGCGCTGTTGAAGGGAATGGGTGCACCGTTCCGAGTAGCCGACTGCAACATCGGCCGGTTCATATCGAGTGGCTCTGTGGTTGCGGCTTGGCTCAGAGAATATGGAACACTCGAGGTCCTTGTTCTTCGTGACGACAGGACTCGTCCTCAACCCACCGCCATTACTGCTAGCTCCAGACAGCCAGCAACCTCCTTCTCTCTTCAACCACTCCCTTTGTAGTTTTTTTTTTTGTGACAATCTTATTTATTGCCCTTTTGTTCCTAGTGAATGTTGTTTGTCTGTAATAACCAGACAGAAGGGACGTAATGGAACCATTCTCGTCTCGAATTCGAAAGTTTTAGTCTTTAAAAAGACTATATTTAAAAAAAAAAAAAAAAAAAAAAAAATTAGGGTTCTGAAGTTGAGAGGCAACGAGAGGATGGCTTCGGCTCACCATCTCGACACTTCGCCTCGCCGGTCCCTTATGGATACCTGAACTCTTAGTGTTTTGGGACATCTAAAACTCAAACACCCGACCATTACGAGATTGAAAGCAAGTACTCCCAACCAAAAACCCGAAAAAGCGAGATCAAAACCGAGGTTGAATAGGTCGGGAAACTCGGATATCCGCATCGGACAACCTGGATGTTTTGGTAAAAGAAGAACGGAACTTCGCATTTGGTGTGGCCATTATGAAGTACAGAAAGCCTCATTCCGTATTCACATCCTTCAAGATTTACAAGAGCAGTCATTCAAACACCCAAGATGACCTATGATCATAACAATTAACAACTCATCAAAACCCCATCTGTCCTCTTCACTATCTTCACAATGACACCAAAATCACACTTATCCCAAACATTACGCAGTAACACGAACAAACCAAAATTCAAGAGACAGTCTAATAAAAGGAAACCAAACCAAAGCTTTCTTGCTAGTTAACATTACCAAACTTCTTTTAACTGACATGAACTTCTCCACTTGCATGTACCTCTTTCACTGTCTTCTCGTATTCATCTTCTTCTTCCCCTTCCCCTTCCCCTTCCTCTGCATCTTCCTCCTTTGCCTCGGCATCTTCCTCTCCTCCCCACCCGAATCCCCCGATGGATCTCGAAACCCGGGGAGGGGCTTTTGCCTCCTCCACAATCTTCATTATCTCTTCGACGCTTTGGAGAGAGAATGTCGGGTTTTCTTTCCTGTAGTAAGCAGCCTGAGCTGTCTCCGTGAGTTCCCTTGGGAGGTTCTTCCTGAACCACGGGTGTTTCTTGATTTCCGCAATGGCGATCCTCTGCAAAAAAAAAAAAATATTCGTATTTGATCGCTTGCAATGATTTTTTCCATCCAAACAAAACATCGTACCGATTGATACCTTTGCCGGGTTCGCCACAAATATGCGAGAAAGCAGATGCTTGCAGTCTTGAGTTACATGGACATAGTCCGGAATCTTGTATTGTACAGCCATTATTCTCTATTTACAAGGTAAGGATTCAGTCATAGAATTCAGTTTATGCAGAGAAATCTAAATAAACAAACGGGAAGAATAAGTAAAAAACTTACTTGAATCGTTTTTCTAAAGTTTTTCGGGTCCTCCTGGTCTTCGAATGGGTATGCTCCAACGAGCATAACATACAGAGTCACACCGCAAGACCATACATCAGCCATCTGATAGGAAGAAAACAAAACTTTATGCTGCAGATCCATAAGAAGTTCAGAAAAACCCTTGCATTGGTCGGGGTGAGCATATGGATACATTCCATTTCTAACGTCTTCCACTAATCTCTAAATCCAAAATTGCCACAGATTAATAGACAAGAACGGAAGATAATATGTCTCTTCGAAACGGGACAAAATGGAACATGTTTCTTCAATCTCTTAACGCCATCATAGGCACCCATCAAAATCAAAAACGGGTTAAATCAAAAGCCTTCAGATTCTACTCAGATGCATAGCAAAAGGGTATTCCATTAAATCTTCCAGAAGGAGAGAAACAGAACAGAACCCGTCAAGGTTCAGTCTCTCAGTATCGATAAGATTACCTTGCCATCATATTCTCTGCGAGAAAGGACTTCAGGTGCAATATAAGCCGGAGTTCCAACTGTAGACTTTGGCCTCGAGTGCAGCAGAGAAGACTGCCACGGAAAATAAAATCAGTTCAACTGAAAGCAGTTTTAGAACTCACAGAAAAAACAGAACAACCATTGATAGTTTCTAAAGTGCTTGAAACATATCCTGAACCTTAGAATAACCAAAATCACAGATTTTCAGGCGTGGAGCAGGACTTCCATCCAAGAGGGTATTCTCTAACTTCAAATCTCTGTGGCATATTTGCTGCAAAAACATAAAAGCGTTGTGATCACATGACAGATAAATGAAAAGAATTCATATTTACGGGGATTCAGTAACGTGCCAAATGTATATATATCCTTACCATAGCATGGCAATAGCTGACTCCTGATATAAGCTGTTGGAAAAAGTACCTTGCCTGGGAAAAAAGAGGAGGATGAGGAACAATGACTATCATAGTCTCAAATATTACAGTCAGAGCATCTGCTACAAATTAAAGTTGCATGTTTCACTAAGATGTCGATTTTGGGAAGATCTAAACGTCTGCAGAATCTGAAACTCAGACCTAAAAAAGTAAAGTAACTAGCAACGCCGCAACCAAATTTCAATTTGAACAGCTCACCTCATCTTCGCTGAATCTCCCCGCGCTACATATACGCTCAAAAAGCTCACCTCCGGCAGCATATTCCATGACAATGGCGAGATGGGTCGGCGTCAAAACCAACTGAAAACACCAAAAAAACAACCTTTAAGCAAGAAAATTATAAAGTTACAAGCTTCAACTGAGCAGTTTCATCATATCTAGAAAACACATGTACCTCCTTAAACCGGATTATATTCGGGTGGCGAAGAGATCTGTGGTTTATGATCTCTCTTGCAACATTCTCATCAATCTGCACACGAAACCAAAACAAGATTAGAAGCATCCGCCGTCAGACATTACAAAAATCCGGCCATGAGAACTTGACTTCGAACAAGTAAAGCAAGCAACACTAAGTGAAACTCGAAAACATAAGATTTTAGATGCTCAGATAACTAACAAAAGGATCACTTTCTCTTCTTTCATAAAACCAGGCAACAGTTTGAACTCAAATCCTTAGAACAATGGCAATGACAACAGAAGAATATCCAACTACAGAGATGAACATAGGCATGCATAAACAGGAGAGTAACTCCAGACAAAAAAAAATTCTTTAGAGAAAAAAAGAGGTTAAAACCTTTGGGCCACGTTCGATGTACTTCATGGCAACGAGCTCCTTGGTGTTTTTGATCCTCATGAGCCTAGCCACGCCGAAATTCCCGGCACCAATGTCCTTCACCAGCTCGTACTTCTCCATATTCCCACAGCAAAAGTTAAGAACCCTAATCTCCACAATTCCGACAACAAAGGATTCAAAATTTCCGAATTATCCGAAAATTCAACTTCAATTCATGCCCAACCCGCTCAAACCCACATCGATTTCAGTCGAAATCTTTTTTTTAAGGGAAAACAGAACCCAACAATCAAAATCACAGACACGTTTTGGAGATTCCACTATTCCCGATATTAGAACATAGGAAGGCAAGGGAGGAGAAATTGTTGAGATTTGAAGGCAAAGCGAAGAATCGCCTCTCTTGGATTTTGATATCTTTTCTATTGCGTTTTTTTTAATATTTTTTTCTATGGGAAAATATTTCGGATGAGATTTTTGCTATAATAATGATGATGGGAAGGAAAAGAAGCCTCCCTCTCGCTCATCATGATGCTTCTTTTTTAACCTATTCTAATTAACTAGGAGAGAGAAAACGGTGGGACCCACATGTTCCTAAGATGATTCCATGTGTTCCTTTTCCTTGTCGCATGTCGCTGTACGGAAGGAACATATTTGTCTCCCAAATGCTCCGCCTAACGGTCCATGCGAATGTAAATAATGATATTGGACCATATGTTTGAAATGGGCCGAATATCTCTATGCATAATTATAAATAACCATATCAGAAGGCCCATATTTGGGCTCAATCTTCTAATGGGCCGTTTACTGATAAGGCCCATATAATTAGAACGCGCGACTTGAAAACGCTATGGCAAATTGTTGCCCAAAGACGTAGAAAACGACTCGAGAGACCAAGGACCTCCTCTGCTAAACACTGTGTTCCTTCCTCTCGCTCGTTGCAGAGGACAAGAGGGGCAGTATATATATGATCATTTCACCGCGACGAGCCATTGGTTTAACGCATTTTCTCCGCCGTCGTCGATTCTCTCTCCTCCAGATCTGATCCTCCGCCATGGCGTCTTGCTCCGCCGTCCAACCTCTTCTGTCGGTGTTTCTCGCCGCCGTCCTCCTCCTCGCTCCCGCACTGGCCTCCGAGTCAGATCACAAGGTTAGATTCGGATCTCTAATGGATATTGTTCTGCTTTCGGTGTGGTCTCTGAATCGAGCTCATGGTTATTAGATCTCGTAATTTGCATGGTGTTTATGGTTGATTTTGTTGTGGATCCGCTCGATTTGGTCCGTGAAGATTTGATCCATTTGCGTCTTCGTTGCAATACTATATAGTATTGTCTAGTTTTTTCGGCACTGTGGATTAGGTTTTGCTGTATGTGAAGATTTCCATGGAATTTGAGTCTTGAAGGTGCGCCGCCCTCTTGATATGCGAGTCAATTCTATGTTGAAACTACTTGGATCAGTACTAATGTGTTTTTTTTTTTCGGGGATAATCGCCGTTGAATGTATTCATGTGTCCGTTTGACATATGAAAATTTTGTAGAGGTTATTAGCATCTTCCACTTTTCTACCGCATACTTGGGAGCAGTAGAAGTGGAATTTCCACATGTGATTTCTTGTTAGTCTATTTAGATATTATAGTTCTTAGTGGTATTAGAGACAAGGTCCCAAAATGTTTCTAAATTCCTCTAGATTGTGATTCCATGGTAAAATATTGAACTCAGCGTCTGATTTTGCTCAGTTTCCTATCAAAATTGTATAAACCAGAGTACCAGTTCTCACAGTCGAAATCGTGAGATCTGGGGTGGTGTGATGATTTTCTTTCTTACTGCCTTTCATTTCAGGAAATATTTTTTTTACCAGGTTCTACTTGTATTTAATCTAATGTATCTAACAGATCAATGCAATGCCCACTTAACGTTTTCCATTTTATAAAGTATGGATATAAGTGAATTGTGTAGTAATTGTAGCAAATCTGGTAGTCTGGTGAGTGGTGAGAGAGGTTAGACTTTTTAAGCAGTCATCTATGTTTTCCAAGGATCCGAAAGCAATTTGAAATGCTTTGTAATGATAAAATAGTTCCTGTAACAGAAAATCTCTCTTGGTTCAACTTTGGGATCTTGCGTTATATATCTTATAATTTCCAGATATGTATATAATATACTATCCTCTACCTTAAAATTAAAATGGAACATATGCAATCTTTTATTTTTAATTCCTCAACATGTTGCAGCGACAGAACAGATAAAATATCCTTGTTTATTTTGATTTAATTTTGTGTTCTGTTCAACCACTACTGGAAAGTTGTTAACTGTTGGCATGGACTTGCATTTTTTTAACAAAGAGGACTGATGTTCTCTTCCACATTGTGTATGCATATTTTGCTGATTAGCCTACTCTAGGTTGTCAGAGTAGCTTGATAGCTGCAATGCATAGCTAAGTTTGATTTTGAATTCCTGTATCATGGCCGGGCAGGCGGACAGTTTATTTTCTTCTTATTTGATCCCATTCGCTTTCTTTTCATTCTTTGCAACTCCTGAAATTTATGTCCTTGTACTTTCCAGTATCAAGTGGATGAGCAGGTTACCCTGTGGGTGAACAAAGTTGGCCCTTACAACAACCCTCAAGAAACATATAACTACTATAGTCTTCCGTTTTGTCGCCCATCTCAAGATGGTGTTCACAAATGGGGTGGTCTTGGCGAGGTTCTTGGTGGAAACGAACTTATTGACAGCAAGATTGACATCAAGTTCTTGAGTATGTTGTAGTTTTCATGCATCGTGATATTTTTCTTGTGATTATCCTACCTGTGCTTGAGTTGCCTTACTATTTTTTTCTGGTTTTCCCTCCAGAAAATGTTGACAGAAATGTGATATGTCAACTGGAACTCACTAAAGCAAATGTCAGGCAGTTTAAAGATGCCATTGAAAATGGTTATTGGTTTGAATTCTTCATGGGTATGTATTCTACTAACTTTTACATGTTCCTGATGAGCTGCATATATCTGTAGTTTTGATTTTAAAAAAAAAACCTGTTGAATATTATTTGAAAGCCTTGGTGCCTTTACAGGAAATTCTGTTGAAAATATAAGAAACATTACATGAAATTTGGAAACATTTTGACATGCTTTAAGACTTGGATTTAGGGTTCATATTTCCTCTTTCAAGTCTAAAGTATCCCTATTATTGATCTCCGCCTATGGTGTTAACTTTGCTCATAAATTTGGAAGTTGGAACATGTATGATACTAAACATTGCATGAAGTTTCCATTTTCCATTTTGGTGCTGTATTGATGCCTTCTTAAACTGCTAACATGTCCCTCTTGTGTCTTCTTCTCCGGTCTGATGTACACGGCCTCTTATTTTCTGGATGCAATTTCAGATGATCTGCCGTTGTGGGGTATGTTTTTTCTTTTGTATATTTATAGAAAACATCGAGAATCTACGTTTTCTATTTTTAAGACAAATGATTTCTAGCTATCTTGTTGCTGTTCTAGGCTTTGTGGGTGAGCTGCATCCTGACAAAAACAATGATAATGTCAAGCATGTCCTCTACACGCATAAAAATATCGTTGTTAAATACAACAAAGACCAAGTGAGTAGTCTCCCATCCTTCATGCCATGTTATGGACTTTAGGTCAGTATTTGTTGTTGTGATGGTGCCTTTTGTTTGTTCCTTGTAGATCATTCATGTTAATCTCACTCAAGACAATCCAAGGCCGTTGGAAGCAGGGAGGAAACTTGACTTGACGTACTCCATGAAATGGGTACCAACAAATGTCACATTTGCTCGTCGTTTTGATGTTTATCTGGATTATCCTTTCTTTGAGCACCAGGTAAAATCATGTGCTTGTCTTGTCCTTTATTATGTCATCATTACTGCATAAAACATTTCATTTTTTTGTTTCTTTATCTTTAAGGGCTGAATCCCGAGTGCATCGATCTTTCGCTAATCTTTGTAGCCCTTATCAAGAGTTCCTTTCAATGCGCAGATCCATTGGTTCTCCATTTTCAACTCATTCATGATGGTTATTTTCCTCACTGGTCTTGTGTCGATGATTTTGATGAGGACTCTCAGAAATGATTATGCGAAATATGCTCGGGAAGATGATGATTTGGAGAGCTTGGTGATGTCTTCTCTGCCTTTTTTGTCTATAGCTGCTGATTTTTTTTTACTGATTTTATTGCTTTAAAAGCTTGTCTAAAGCACTCTTTTTTTCCTAACTGAAAACGTAACCATATCTGACTGTCATTGTTTTAAGTACAGGAACGGGATGTAAGTGAAGAGTCTGGTTGGAAACTTGTGCACGGAGATGTGTTCCGTTCACCTCACAGTCTGTCTCTCCTCTCCGCTGTTGTTGGAACCGGTGCACAGTTGGCATTGCTGGTTCTTCTCGTCATTTTATTGGCAATCGTCGGTACACTCTATGTCGGGTATGTGCCGAGTTTCTCTTGCTGTCAAAATTTCTGTTTCTCTTATTGAATTGCTCTCTCACATCATGAACTGCTCCGCTTATTGTGTTTATTTTATTCAGGAGAGGAGCAATTGTCACAACTTTCATAGTTTGCTATGCTCTGACTTCCTTTGTCTCTGGTTACGTGAGTGGTGGATTGTACTCAAGAAATGGCGGTACATATTCATTTCTCTAGTTAATGGCATCTGAAGCTCAGTAACCTGTACTTTCCATGGATTGTTTCAAGTCTTTTTACTGTGGATTTTTTTTCAGGTAAACACTGGATCAAGTGCATGATCCTCACAGCTTCTCTCTTCCCATTTATGTGCTTTGGAATTGGCTTTGTCCTCAACACAATCGCCATATTCTACGGATCTCTCGCGGCTATTCCCTTCGGGACAATGGTGGTTGTTTTCGTTATCTGGGGTTTCATTTCATTCCCTCTTGCCCTCCTCGGAACGGTTGTCGGAAGAAACTGGAGCGGTGCTCCAAACAACCCATGCCGGGTGAAGACCATCCCTCGTCCAATTCCCGAGAAAAAGTGGTATCTCACGCCATCTGTGGTCTCGCTGATGGGAGGTCTGCTTCCCTTTGGCAGCATCTTCATCGAGATGTACTTCGTCTTCACTTCCTTCTGGAATTACAAGGTAACCTCTTCTCTACAGCTTTCACGCCAAAGAATAGCACTCGGGGCGAGTGTTTTTTTCCTTTTTTGGTATTTAGAGGACTAAAACCACAGTAATGAGTGAGGAGGCAGCCCGATGCACAAGGTGTCCCTATTGAAAAGGAAAAAAAATCCCAAATTTCAGATATTCATCTCAACTCGTGGCTGGGTTATGGTGTGAGGAAAACCCTAAATCTAGGTTCAGGGTTAAGTAATTGGTACCCATATGAAAGTAAAATAACATTTTGTCCCTAGATCCTAGAGAAATTACATAAACCTATTGAAATTCGTTTGAAATTTTGGTTTGAATTTCGGGTAATCCGAAAATTTTGGGTATCCAATCCGAGTCAATTCCTAATATATGATATTTATTTTGAAAATTTCAAAATTCCGTACGGTAAAACTCTGATTAGGATATACAACCAAAACCGATCCCAAGATTAGGTAATATCTTGTGAGATCTGAAATGTTTGGATTCAGGTAATCCCAAAATCACGGGTTCTTACTGACGGGTTTTCTCTGCTGGGACAGGTCTACTATGTATATGGATTCATGCTACTGGTGTTTTTGATTCTCGTCATCGTGACGATATGCGTGACTATTGTGGGAAGTTATTTCCTGTTGAACGCAGAGAACTACCACTGGCAATGGACATCATTTTTCTCCGCAGCATCGACTGCAGTCTACGTCTACTTGTACTCCATCTACTACTACTACGTCAAGACCAAGATGTCCGGTTTCTTCCAGACAAGCTTCTACTTCGGTTACACTTTGATGTTCTGTCTCGGCCTCGGAATCCTCTGTGGTAAGTGTTTCATAAGTCTCTCCTCTCGTCGAAACTCACCTAGTGATTGGGGTTACGACTTTCGCCTTTGGATGTAATAACGTTGCAGGAGCGGTAGGATACTTGGGTTCGAGTTTGTTCATTAGGAGGATCTATAGAAACATCAAGTGCGACTAACAAAGTGAGGTAAAATGATCGGAAAAAGGACGAGCCTCGAGGGAACGGGACCGAGCGTGGTTCCGAGGCTTAGAATTCTAGAGATAATACTGCATTTGTGTTTATCTCTTGAATTCAAGGGAAAAGGGATGCACAATGAAGGGGGAGGAGCCCTGCGAGCTTTTCTTCTTCGTCTTTTGTTTTACTTTTGCTCCTCTTTTTGTTAAGTCTTTAGAATTCAAGAGATAATTACTGCTTTTGTGTTATATGTTTTTTCTTTTTTTTTTCTTTTTTTTCTTTGTATTTGATCAGTAGTGGGCAGCTGTGGTTCTTCGGTTGTACAAGTAGCATGTAATTTTTCGTCCCTATTCCCTCACACACACACATTATGCTCACATTTATTTTTGCACCATGAATTTGTTTGTGTTTCTTTTATTTTATTTTAATGGTAATCGGATGCAAATGATAATTTCTCTGGTGAAGAGAAAGAAGAAAGGAGAGTATATGAGAAGAAACTCTGGAATCTTCTTGCGGGGAAATGGAAAGAGATGATGTTTGTGTGTGTGAGGGAAGCGCAACCGCAGAATAACGCAACCCACACAACGAACGCCACGTGGCAGATAAGCTTTCACAAAAACTCTTCCTTTTATTTCTTCCCCTTCCACACGCCATTTCCACAAAGCCTCAACACACTCAATACAGAGAGAGATAAGAGAGCGAGAATCTTTAATCTCTGCAGCAATGGCTTCTTCCACTGCTCTCTCCGGCGCCATTTTCAGCACCTCCTTCCTCCACCGTCAACCCTCTCCTCCGGCTGTGGCCTTTACCCTCACTCCGGCCAACTCCTCCACCGCACTCGGCCTCAGATCCACCTCCTCTCGCGGCGGAAGAGTCGTCGCCATGGCCACGTACAAGGTTAAGTTCATCACCCCCGACGGCGAGAGCGAGGTGGAGTGCCCCGACGACGTCTACGTCCTGGACGCGGCGGAGGAAGCCGGGATCGACCTGCCGTACTCGTGCAGGGCGGGTTCGTGCTCGAGCTGCGCGGGGAAAGTAGTGTCGGGGTCAGTGGACCAGTCGGACCAGAGCTTCTTGGACGACGACCAGATCGCGGAAGGGTACGTCCTGACTTGCGCTGCTTACCCTGCTTCTGATGTCGTCATCCAGACCCACCAAGAAGAAGCCATTGTCTAAGACAGAATCTTCTTCATCTCTCTCCCTCTCTCTCTCTGTTTTTCTTACTCTTTGTCGTTGTCAGTTAAAATCGGCCTGTTTGTTGGTCCATGCACTACACGTTTTAATTCAAGTAATATTTTCTACGATGCTATACGAGGGTTTCTTGTTCCTTGCGCCATTTACTATTTCTTGAATTTTCAACAATGTCCATAGCTGTTAAAGGAACCATTTTTCAGCAAACAAAGTAAAAACACCAATAAAGAACAAAAGACGTACTGGAATTTGACGTTCCAATTCTAAGAAAGTGATGCAATCGTATAATGAGAAATTCATGCATATCTCTCATCTTCGAAGACTAGATGTGATTGGGATGTATAACTCAAGGTAATATTTGTGGACGACATTGCTTGGATCATATACCACAAATCTAGTTTCAAATATAATTGTAATATCCGAAAAATATATATATACAAATGTCAAGAGATTGTTTGTGGTTCGCTTCATAGGAATAAAAGATAAAACGACGCATGGCATGTCGTATAAAACGAACATGCCATAAGCATTCACCATTCCCGTTGGCATCATTTTCCGTGGCTCCCAATTGCCAACGCGCTCGTAACCAAATTGTTATAATTCTATAGATTTTTATAAGAATAGGGGTTTGATATCTTCTTTTACACCATCTAACAAAAATACTGTAGAAGAAAATCAAGAGAAACACATTGGTGAAAATCTCTTAACAAATACTCTGAAAACAAATAATTAAAGAGCTCCCAACCTTTCATGCCTTCTTTCACACCGTCTACTACGACTCATTTTCACCATAAACCAAATCTCGGGGCTCCGTTTAAAATCAAGGGAAGTTCACATTGTTTGATATGTTCTTCTGAAAGAAAATAAATCATATTATAATCATTCTCATCTAATCACCAAGTTAATTTATTATCGTTATCATCAAGTCCTCTGAACAAATCACGAGTAGTTCTTGATTTCGAAATTAGCATGGACATCAGTTGAGATATCCGATTATCAAAAAAAAAAAAAGTTATTTAACACAAAGTCAAGAATGTGTCTCCTTGCATCCAACTCTTGTAAACAAGTAAAAAAAACACAACTTTTTATATAATTTCATTCCAATAAGTATTATAAATAAAGAATAATCAAAATAAATATAAAAGACCGCATAGCGCAGTGGATTAGCGCGTCTGACTTCGGATCAGAAGGTCGTGGGTTCGACTCCCACTGTGGTCGTTGATCTTTTTATTTTTTTTCAATAATTTTTTGGGCCGATTTCACAGGATCTCCGATTTTAGGGTTTAAAGATCACTCTCAAAACAAGGCGAAGTTCTCCGCATCTCCTCCATTTTTTCTACCTCACATTTCGTCTCGTTGTGATAGAGCCAACAAAATCGTTTAGCTCTTGAAGAGTCCAGTCCAGTGACCAAGACGAAATCAATGGCGTCGTCTCTGAAGAGACGGGAGCAACCAGTGTCCAGAGATGGCGATCAGCTCATCATCACTCCTCTTGGCGCCGGAAACGAAGTGGGTCGTTCCTGCGTTTACATGTCCTTCAAAGGCAAAACCATTCTGGTATGTTTTTCCTATTCCCCAAATTTTCAAAAAACAAATTTCCTCGTTGACGTTTTGGCGGTTTTGATTTGTGGGTTATGTGCAGTTTGATTGCGGGATTCATCCTGCGTACTCGGGCATGGCCGCTTTACCTTACTTCGATGAGATTGACCCTTCCTCCATTGATGTCCTCCTCATTACTCAGTATGTTCGCTTGCTTCCTCTTCTTCTTCCATTTTCGTTCATACCTTCATTGAGTGCACTGGTTGTTCATAAACGTCTCTTTAGGTCAGTAAGAATCGTGTAATTTGATATTGTTTTTATTGCACCATGCTCATTCGGCAACCTGCTTTTGGGTTTTTTGCCCTTTTCATCTGCGATTAAGCCGTAAATTCAACCCTTTTTTTTCCTTCGAAAAATGAAGAATTTTGCTGCTTGTTCTTGTACTTTCGTGGAGAGATGTCTCTTACTATGAGATCACAAACTATGATTCCGTGTTTTCCTCTTGCAGCTTTCATTTGGATCATGCAGCATCCCTCCCTTATTTTCTTGAGAAGGTTTGATTCTCTATCTGAATCTGAATACATTGAATACGAACTCGATTTCTGTTTTAGATTGGACATTGACGCATTGTTTGGAATCTTGATTAGACGACATTCAAGGGGCGGGTCTTTATGACACACGCGACAAAGGCTATCTACAAGCTGCTGCTTACTGATTATGTGAAAGTTAGCAAAGTTTCAGTTGAAGACATGTTGTTTGACGAACAAGATATCAACCGCTCCATGGACAAGATCGAGGTCGGTAACTGTAAACCATTCATGCTAAAATCTGTCTGGTTTTACCCTTTTTGTCTGTGTGCTTGTTGTGATTAAAACAGAAAAGGGTTTTGTTCTGTCTCTAGGTAATCGATTTCCATCAAACGGTTGAAGTGAATGGCATCAAGTTCTGGTGCTACACTGCTGGTCATGTTTTAGGTGCAGCCATGTTCATGGTGGATGTAGCCGGTGTTCGTGTCCTCTACACCGGTGATTATTCTCGAGAGGAAGATCGACATCTTCGAGCAGCCGAGCTTCCTCAATTCTCCCCCGATCTCTGCATCATAGAATCTACTTATGGTGTCCAGCTCCATCAACCTCGTCATATCCGTGAGAAACGCTTCACTGATGTGATCCATTCGACCATTTCTCAAGGGGGTCGTGTCCTCATCCCGGTTTTCGCCCTTGGTCGTGCCCAAGAACTTCTCTTGATCCTGGACGAGTACTGGTCAAACCACCCGGATCTACATAATATCCCGATCTACTATGCTTCTCCGCTCGCCAAGAAGTGCATGGCCGTTTACCAGACGTATATACTCTCCATGAATGACAGAATCCGCAACCAGTTTGCAAACTCTAATCCTTTCGTGTTCAAGCACATTTCCCCACTGAGCAGCATAGATGATTTCAGAGATGTCGGCCCGTCCGTGGTCATGGCTAGTCCTGGAGGGCTTCAGAGTGGTCTTTCGAGGCAACTGTTCGACATGTGGTGTTCAGACAAGAAAAATTCTTGTGTCTTACCTGGTTATGTCGTGGAAGGAACCCTAGCGAAAACGATTATCAGCGAGCCGAAGGAGGTGACTCTTATGAATGGCCTTACCGCTCCTCTCAACATGCAAGTTCACTACATATCATTCTCTGCACATGCTGATTATGCCCAGACAAGCACTTTCCTGAAAGAGCTCACACCTCCGAACATAATTCTTGTCCATGGGGAAGCTAACGAGATGATGCGGCTTAAACAGAAGCTCATGACCGAGTTTCCCGATGGAAACACCAAGATCATCACCCCGAAAAACTGCCAGTCCGTTGAAATGTACTTCAGTTCGGATAAAATGGCAAAAGCCATCGGGAGATTGGCCGAGAAGACTCCGGAAGTCGGGGATACAGTCAGCGGCATTCTGGTGAAGAAGGGTTTCACTTGCCAGATAATGGCGCCAGATGATCTCCATGTTTTCTCGCAGCTTTCAACGGCGAATGTAACTCAGCGGATTACTATCCCTTTCTCAGGTGCTTTTGGCGTGGTAAAGCATCGCCTCGAAAAGATTTACGAGAGTGTTGATTCTTCGACGGACGAAGAATCTGGGGTTCCGGTACTGAAGGTACACGACAGAGTAACGGTGAAGCAAGAGTCGGAAAAGCATGTTTCACTGCAGTGGCCGTCGGATCCAATAAGCGACATGGTCTCGGACTCCATTGTGGCGTTGGTTCTTAACATCAGCCGTGAAGTTCCCAGGATCGTGGTCGATGAAGATGCTGTGAAATCCGAGGAAGAAAACGAGAAGAAGGTGGAAAAAGTCGTATATGCCCTTCTCCGTTCGCTTTTCGGGGATGTGAAACTCGGGGAGAACGGGAAGCTTGTGATAAGCGTAGACGGTAATGTGGCACAGCTCGATAAACTGAGCGGGGAAGTCGAGAGTGAGAACGAGGGTCTTAAAGAAAGAGTTCGAGTCGCCTTTCAGCGGATTCGGAGCGCCGTGAAACCGATTCCGCTCTCGGAATCTTAGCTTTCGCTTTCCGTCACGCCCTCGATGTCGATGTGATGGACGGGTTTCGGGGCAGATCCAACCGAACTGTGTAATGTTTGGACAATGACTTGTATCCTAATGTGTGTATTGTCGGTTTTTGTTTCGGATCTAATTTTTCGGTTTTATAAAATTCGGTTCGGATTCCGAATTAGTTGCTAAATAATAAAATATTTATTTTCTAAAGAAATTTACGGTTTTTCGTCTATTAGTTTATTTTTACGTATAAAAATATCATAATTATTGTTATTAGGTTTTTATATGGTATTCAATTTTATTACAATTCGGTTTGGATCGACTGCCGAATAATAGCTCACCCCAAACCTTTTGCTTTTAGTTTTCCACGCTCAATTTATTTCTTTTTACTCGACAGATTTCCGCCTTCCTCTACTGTTCTCTCTCACCCCCGTCGCTCATCGCCGTCTTTCGTTCTCTGCAACCTTCGCCGGAGATTGCTCGACGTTATTCGCTAGTAAGATCATCTCTCTCTCTCGGTCTCTCTCTGTCAGCAATGAATCAGGAGTGTGGGCAGCTCGTCTCCGGTGGTCCTTTCCGTTCTCGGCTCGATTCAGGGTTTGAGAACGGGAGATTTATCGTTATCCGGTGCTAAAATCTCCGGATTCAAATCCAGAAACCGAGGATGTAGGTTTCTGGAACCCTCGGTGGGCTTAATTCCCCCGCCATATTCCTGGGATCATTAGGGTTTCTCCCTTTAGTTTCAATTAACACTCGCGAATTTCAATTCTCCGTGCTCCCGAAAGCGAATATGGCGATCTATGCCCTGTTGCTACATAGCTAATTATGGCCGAAATGTCATTCGATCGGGTGTTGAATCTGCTTGGAGGAGTCAATTTCAATGATTTTCGTTTAATTGCGATATACGATATGGTAACACCGGTCATATCTGCAGGCTTTGGGGATGAAGTGGTTAAGATGGAGTTTTCATCTAAAGCTATAACAAAGCCTCTTCATTGCCATTTTTAGGGTTTAGGGAAGAAACCAGAAGGGGCTTAAACTATCGCTGGGTTAACTGAAGAAACCATCAGGGGATGGTTCTTTCGAAAAACAGAGCTATGAGACTAAGATCAGGCTCAGAAGCTCATCGAGACTCTTGCAGTTTCGTTCGGTGAAAGACTTCCCTGTATTAAGCTACAACTATTTCGATGGCATGTTTTCGTTGGTTTTAGATATGGCTGGTGATGAAGGCCTAAGTCTTGTGTTGGTTGTAGTTAAGTTATCAAATCAAATAGGAGCATTCTTTTGATGGGTGTGCGTTATCTGTTAAGCACACATACATAGAACCCCTCGAGCTTTGATTGTTGATTTGACATTCTCTTTTAATGATTATTTACTTCTCTAACTGTTAAGTTTTACAGGTGATTGTGGAAACCTTCCTTCCTGTTAAAAGGAAGTTCCGATTGTGGATCTTCTCAGTAGCTAATGGCGGAATTAGAAACTCTACTTTTGGAAGCTGCTGGTAGAACCAATGCAGGAGGGAGGAACCGACAGTCTCATCCACCGTCACGGAGGAGACGTGAAGGTTCATACTCTGATGGTGGAAGTGATTCAAAGGATGATTCTGATGAAGATCGTGGCTTTTCCAGCAGAAAGCCCTCTGGGTCTCAAGTTCCTCTGAAGAAGAGGTTGGAGTCCTCCGACAGAGAAGATCGAGCTGCCCGGGGTGAAGGCGATTTCGGTGATGGTGGCTCCGATCGTGAGGGTGACAGCAGCGATGAATCCGACTTTGGCGATGATCTCTACAAGAACGAAGAAGACAGGCAGAAGCTTGCCGGGATGACAGAATTTCAGAGAGAGATGATTCTGGCTGAGCGTGCTGATAAGAAAGGCGATAAGAATTTTACCGAGAAACTTAGATCGAAGAGGGAAAACAACAAGACCCCTGTTTCAAAGAAAGAGACAACGCCTCTTGCGGCGTCTCGTGGTATCCGAACATCTGCTAGATCTGCAGATAGAGCGGCTGCAAAGGATGATGCACTGAACGAACTGAGGGCAAAGCGTATGAAGCAGCAGGATCCGGGAGCTCACAGCAAATTGAGGGATGCATCAGAGGGCGGTTCGGGTAGCCGAGATTTCTCATCAATCAAGCGGAAACCATTTGCTTCCTCGAATTTAAGTAGTTCCAGTCAGAGTGACGGTGAGAGGTCTCATAGTGACGAGGAAGGCTCAACTGGCGATGGAGGAATGCTCGACAGTGACGACGATATGTCTGATGTTCCTACCTTTGAGGATATTAAGGAAATTACCATAAGGAGGTCGAAGCTCGCTAAATGGTTGATGGAACCTTTCTTCGAAGAGCTAATTGTCGGATGCTTTGTGAGGGTTGGGATTGGAAGGTCGAAAAGCGGGCCGATTTACCGACTCTGCATGGTGAAGAACGTTGACTCGACGGATCCAGACAGAACATACAAACTAGAGAACAAGACAACACACAAGTATTTGAATGTTATATGGGGCAACGAAAACTCAGCCGCTCGATGGCAAATGGCAATGGTCTCAGATGGGCATCCTCTGGAGGAGGAGTATCGGCAGTGGATCAGGGAGGTTGAGCGAACGAACGGCCGCTTGCCCACGAAGCAAGACGTATCAGAAAAGAAAGAAGCCATACAAAGGACAAACAAGTTTGTTTACTCGGCAGAGACCGTGAAACAGATGTTGCAGGAGAAGAAATCGGCCTCGATCAGGCCATTGAACGTCGCTGCCGAGAAAGACAAACTCAGAAGGGAGTTAGACGTTGCGCAAAGCAAGAACGACGAAGCTGCCATACAGAGAATCAAAGGTAAAATCAAGCAACTCGAGGCATCACGCCAGAAGAAAGAGGTGGACAAAAAGGCACTTAGGCTCGCCGAGATGAACCGCAAGAACAGGGCCGAGAATTTCAAGAACGCATCTGAGCTGAAACCCGTAAACACGAGCCTAAAAGCCGGTGAAGCAGGGTACGATCCGTTTTCGAGGAGATGGACCCGATCAATGAACTACTACGCCGGGAAAAACAGGGAAAACGACGAGACTGGTGTGAGGGAGAATGCAGAGGCAGAGAGCAACGGAAGAGCCGCCACAGGAGAGAGTGGGTTAGCTAGCGGCCACGGCAGCGGCTCTAGAGGCGGCAGCAGGGGCGGGGAAGCTGGTGGACACGAGAGCGCCGATGGATCAAGGAGCGGAGTTCAACATTCTGCACAATTTCGAGCTCCCGATATCGCTGGCGCCGCTGCAGAAACTCGGGGGACCGCAGGGCGTACAGAAAGCGTTCATGGGGAGGAAGCAGGCGATCGAAGCCACGGTTGGATGCAGAGTTCCTGAGAATGATGGCAAGAGGCATGGCTTGACGTTGACTGTTAGTGACTACAAGCGACGGAGAGGCCTTCTCTGATCAGTTTTATTACACACTTTCACTAGTTTCCTTCACAAACAGGTTCTTGTCTCTCTTTCTTAATCCTTTTTTTTTTCGGGTGTTGCCTGAAATATTTGTGTGGTGTTTGCTTGAACTCGCCAATTTACTGTGTGAGAGAACTTAAGCTTGTTTCTTTAAAAAAAAAACTTATAATTCAACAGAATAAGCAAGTTTCAAATTATTCCTCTCGTTTGGATAATTTGGCGTTATGCTGTTTGTAGATTATTTTCTATTTATACGAATTCCTAACATTTCCAACAGAATAAGCATATGTTTATATTTATATTTATTTTTTATTTATTGAGTTCTTATAAATTTGTTAATTTTTTATTACATAACATCTTACGGATTTATTCATAGAACGCTAAAATTCGGAATTTATTTTGTAAAAAGAGTAGTCGAGTTTTATTTTAGAAAAATTGACAAAGGTATTATTCTTCTAATTTTCTAGTCAAATAATATCTAACTATCCAGAAAGGCTAAAACTTTGGACTTTGAAAAAACTACTTGGGCCTTTCATTTGACAGGCTTGTGAGGCTTCCAACAGGTTATTCTTAATTTCATTGCCATTAGAAATGAATAAATTAAAAAAACTGTATATTATTATTGGTTAAAATGAATAATTTTTTTTAGTACACAAGAAACGGAACCAGAAAAAAAAAAATTCATATGATATGAATAAACCATATGCGTGAACAAGTTCTAATCAAATCAAACTAAACCGAATATTAAACCAATCACATATTCTGACAAGTTTTTTTTTTATAACCAGAATAGTTTTCCAACTCTTCAAGGTTCAGCACCAATTTTTGTATATGGACCATTTTGGTCCAGAAATTACATCTCTCAACACCACCAATGTAATCGAACCCAAAATTTTGAAGATGACTTTATCACCTCTTATTCATTGAGCCATCAACCGTTGGATATATTTTGATAAGTCTTGAGAATATGGAAACGATGAACACTAACTTGATCCAAATATACATCATCAGGTGACAAATATAATAATAAAAATCCAACTAATATTTTATCTACGATAGGGATTTTTAATCTTAAACCATTCACGGTATTTGTTAGAAAGTTAGATTTAAAAGAATTCTTCGGTCCACCTTTACGAATTTTCCCATAAACATGGACCACTAACAACTGAGGAACAGAAGTTTAATCACAAATGATATCCAAAAATGACACGAACTAAAATCGATTCACGATCGAGAGAAATCAAAGAATCGATTGAATAATACGAGATTGATGGGAGACTAATCCGTGAAAAAAAATTGAAATAATTGAGTGAATCGAATAATAATTAAGATGTTTCTATTCCAATAATTAAAATCCATATATGATATCTGTCTGTCTATATACGCATATGTCAACGTTTTAAAAACGCATGATGATTGTCTCTTCCAAGTAATTTCAGCTATCTTCTCTCCTGTCAATCGTTCTTTAATTGTTTTTTTTTAAAAAAAAACTTTTTTTCATCATTTTTTATGCAATTTTCTAACACCAAAACTATATAACATATTAATTGCGGGGGTCCGACGGCTAAGCGAACCGACGATAATATCCATTGTTTTTATTTTTTTTTTTGTAGGGGTTGACGTTTCGGTTTCGGTTCGATATTCAAGCGGTTCGATTCGGGAACGGTATTTTCGGTTTTATAAAAAATGTACCAAACTAGAACCGAATATTAAACGGTTCGGTTCGATTCGGTTTTAGTATCGGTTCGGTTCGGAACGGTACCATTATATGAATACCAAATAAGTACCGAACTATAATATTTACATATATATTAGTGGAATATTCGAATTTTGGTTCTGAATTCATATGGTTCGGTTCGGGAACGGTTCATTCGGTTCCATAAAAAGTGTACCAAATTAGAACCAAACGTTATTCGGTTCGATTCGGTCCGATTCGGTTTCAGGACGGATCAGATCGGTACTAAATTTCCGAACCGAAGTGTCCACCCCTATTTTTTTGTTCAATTGACTTGATAGAATTTGGAATATCCTAAAATAATTTGATCAAGATCTTCACCATTGGAAATCTATTAAGCAAAAATAATATTAATAGCAAAATGTGGCCCTCCTCAGACATTTGTCTGAAAGATATGTGTCATGTCTTTTATAGTTAGATACGCCGCACACACACATTCATTCAAACGTCCACGAAAATCATAATTTCCACGTGACAACATGAATTAAAAGAGAATTTCCCATTCGTCAGATATGAAACATATATTTTTTTTTTTCATACAAAGATCATGTTAACTACTAGTTTCTAAAATAAGAAATGTAATAAAAAATCAAATATAAATATACAAATTTATTTAAAAATTTATCAATATATATATATATATATATATCTTATAAAAGGGATACATCAATTAATCAAATCTTACCAATTTTTTTTCACATAAACTTTATTTTGTCTATCTTTATTCTTCGATTGATAGTATTTACCTAATTAGAATATTTTATTAAAAAATTCAAAATTCATATATTTTCTATAACAATTTTTTTAGCAAATTAGCGTAATATTACTTTTTTCAAAAGAGTTTTATAAAAAAAAGTTTATTTAAAAATAAATAAACAAATGGATATTATTGGATGATCAAATAATGAATCAAATTATATTTTGATTGAATATATAGATGTGAATCAACCTTGTAGCTGTGTTATAGATGTTGAAGAATGGAAATATTTTTATAATCTAGCCGAAAATTGAATGGAAAAAATGTGTCAAATATTGAATGATCTTATAAAATTTTGTTTTTTTTTTATGAAAATGACAAAAAACAATCTTTGTCCAAATAAGGGGTGGACATTCGGTTCGGGTATTTCGGTTATTAACCGGACCAACTGATATATATATATATATATCCAAACCAAATCGAACCGAATAAAATGTGGTTATGATTTTTTAAAATCCGAAATAACCAAATATGGAATAACCGTAAATCGAATAAACAGAACCCGAATTAACGTTCCGAATACAATCGTTTATCCACATATTTATCACTAATTAATATACGATATATGTTAAATTTAATTAGAAAAAATGGTATATTGATATTGTTTGATGACTATGGTATATAACAAATTGAAATATATAATTTTTTCTAATTTAATAATTGTTTTATTATTTTCAATTTATTTTATTATTTTCAAATTTTGTGCTATATGAGCATTTGAAAATGATAAAGTTTATTTAAAATCTTTTATTTTATTGTTTTTATGTCAAAATAAATTAGATATAAATTTAGATTTTGTTGTTTTATATGTTAAGATGGTTATCATGGTATTTTATATTATATCTTGTTTGAATATTTTTTATTATAAATGTTTTAAATTTTTTTTTAATATTATAACCAAACCGAACCGAAACAAACTGAAATTGAACCGAACCGAACTGAATAAAATTAAATAACCGTTTGGTTATGAATTTTCAAAATCCGAAATATTTGACCCGAATTAACCGTGATGATTAATCTTAATCGAACCGTTCTTCCACACTGACTTCTTTTTTAAGAATGCGATAAACAACTGTTGAGCTATCGGTGTTTGTAGGATCGATAGATTTAAACCGAAAAATCTAAATAATTTATATAAATTTATTATAAATAAAGTTTTTATTTACGAATGGATCAAAGATGGAAGAAATTCTTTGAATCTCAATAGAGTGTATCATGTATGCATCTCCTCGACCGATTACTGAACAAATGCTCTTATGCATCTCCTTTCTTTATCTAAAAATATTTTGATCAAATTTTACATTTATGTAACAAAAAAGGGAATTAAAGTTTTCATTTACATATTTGCATTTTTTAGATTAGTCGAATTTTCAATTTTTTATTTTAAATGTGATTGTATATATAGACATAAATGCATAATTATTTAATTTTTTGTTTTTACATCTCAAAATATCAATAATGGAGTGGGCAACAAAATGTAAGGCTCAACGTGAGCAAGTACAACAATAGATAATGGAAACGAGGAATGCATCCATATATGATATCTGTCTGTCTATATACGCATATGTCAACGTTTTAAAAACGCATGATGATTGTCTCTTCCAAGTAATTTCAGCTATCTTCTCTCCTGTCAATCGTTCTTTAATTGTTTTTTTTTAAAAAAAAACTTTTTTTCATCATTTTTTATGCAATTTTCTAACACCAAAACTATATAACATATTAATTGCGGGGGTCCGACGGCTAAGCGAACCGACGATAATATCCATTCGTCATTGGTCAACGAGTCCACTTCGATATTTAATGTAATTGTTTTATTATTAAATTCCTCTCCAAATATATATAACATGGATTCAAAAACTACATGACAATAAAAAACACAGTTCGTAATCGTATTGATATCACATGCATTCATGTCATCGTACATTGCATATGGAAAGCCACTGTTAAACTTGGAATCTGAGTGTATCAAGACCGGTTTAGTTGGCTTATGTTAGTCCGGTTTACATTCTGTCGGTTTAGTTTTTTCGGTTTGTTTTGTATTTCATTTCTCTCGGAGAGATTCGTCTTCCCATTCAAATCTTTAGAAAACTTATCCAAAATTCTCTTCATTCCCATTCTTTATTTATATTAAAATCGATCTCAAATCAAATTCACTTTCTATAAAAAGTGTTTATTTGTTTGTTTTCGTTTTTTTCCTGACAAAACATATATATTTGTTACTAACAAAATAAAGAGAAAGTTCGGTTCACTAACCAAATCGAAAAAAAATACAAACCCTAACTAAAAATATTTGGTATGAACATTCACGTTTTCCAAACCGAAAATCCTAACCATTCATGCTGAAGCATGCCATATCCACTTCTTGTATGGAGCATATTAATAGAGAAAGAGATGGAGAATTATTGGATTTCTCATTATTCAACATGTAACATTACAATATTTATAGAAGAAATAAAATCATAAAATATCTTATTTAATAAATATAAATATCTAAAATATAGAAACAAAATCAAATCTAAATATTACGTAATCTTCTCAAATCTTCTTCATATCTCTTTACACGCCTCCTCAAACTCAAGGAGATGAGAAACAACTGTTTGAGGTTGAATTCTCTAGAAAATAACGGGATTTAACAATCAAACCTAGGAATCGGTGGATTGTTGGCGGATCTGAAAAAGTCCGGTGAAGCAGAAGCGTGGTGCACATGCACGGTATTGTGGGGTTGTGCGACAGCAATGTCGGCAGCGCAAAAGGCGCGATGGTTTAGCGGCTATGCCGGAAAAAGAAAATAAATGGTGCAAATGCACGCGGCTAAAGCCGAAAAAAAAAGATGGCGCAAATGTGCGGATCGACGATCGGAGTATTCCAATCGAAGAGGTTAAAAGCCGGATTCAAAGGCTGATGTGGCACGGATGTGCGGCGCATATGCGCGAGTTGGGTTGCACGACAATGAGGTCGGCAGAAAAAAAAAGAGTAGCACATCGGCTAGGGTTGACAGTGATAAACACCGTCGTCGGAAAAAAAATAGAAAAAAAAATGAATGGAAGACGATACTCAAGGTGATGATACTATTGAAGTTAATATATCATCGTCATCTTCATCATCGTTTTCGGATTCAACGAACATCGTTGATATAAAAAAATATTTAGAACAAAAACCGAAGCTCTGATACCATAATAGAGAAAGAGATGGAGAATTATTGGATTTCTCATTATTCAACATGTAACATTACAATATTTATAGAAGAAATAAAATCATAAAATATCTTATTTAATAAATATAAATATCTAAAATATAGAAACAAAATCAAATCTAAATATTACGTAATCTTCTCAAATCTTCTTCATATCTCTTTACACATATTTGGTATGAAAAATCTCAAAAGGCATGAAGCGTCACATAAGATGTCGGGTTTCAAATATATTTTATAATAAAAATCTCTCTCTCTCTCTCTCTCTCTCTCTATCTCTATCTCTACACACACACACATATATATCTGTATGTATATATGTATATATATTGCAGTTAATAAAAAAAAAACTATTCACGTGAAGCACAACTAATTAATGGTCCTAATTCTAGTTTTGTCTGAATGGGAATGCAAATGACTCCACTCTGACTTGTCTAACCCTAGATTACGTGAACAAAAGAAAATCTATACGGACCCTCGGCTATTGGATACGGTCGATCTGATTATGAAATGAAAATGAACGGTTATGGAATTATTCCATTCACCGGTCCATTTTTTGGTGTCATTAATGCATATTCAACTTAATCAAATTCAACTAAAAATAAGAAAGAACGCGCATCAATCGTTGCCGCTATATGAATATGCACTAGCAAGTGTGCGTATATTATATATGCATGCATGTTTTGTAGTGTACATTTTTTTCTGATTGATGTGAATATTTACCACTCATTAAATAAATTTGCTAACAATATTAATGTCCAAATCAATCACCTTGACCACAGAGATATGCGATCCGATGAGCTCTTCTCTAAAACTTATTTCGGACCAAAGCTAATAAACATTTTCATCGATCTCATTTTTGGAGATTAAGAAGTTGATTAATTAGCCATCGTCAAAGACAAAATCAAGGGTCGTCTGCTTTCACTGTCATCATAAAATATATACGACCATTCTTACCCGTGTTAAATGCTTCCTTTCGAAAAATCAACTCATGTACATTGACAGCTGCTTCGTTAATTTATTGCCCTGGCCCCTGATCAATTCAGATTGCACGAATTTCCGGCCGGTCGTAGTTTCTCTTCATGCATGCATGGCCCCGCATGCATATGCATGCCACCACGTAAGAGCCACTCTTGTTTCTTGTGTTTTGTTCGCGTCGGCAAGTGAGTGATACTCGAAGCGAATCGTACGTCATTAGTTACATCACCAATAGGAACAACGTTGTAGTATGAACGGATTGAACACATACGGGAAATGTGAAAATATGAAAAACGTGTGATAAGACAGGGGAAAAACAAAGGCGTACGAAATGTTTAACAGTAAGAATCTTGACCAAACATACAACCGCGCGCTACGATTGTCCGTATTGTCACATGCATGTTTCACGCTCGTTATAGTTATCAAGTTGGTCCATTTGCCTCTATATAAAACACCAAAAGGACCATACCTTTTGGCCCCAACTTATAAAAAGCACTAAAAGTGAAAATACATTGCCCACAAAAGAGTACACTATTGTTATCTCTTAGCTATAGTGAACATGAATAAGCTCGAACAATCTCTCGATCTCTATGTTCTGTCCGAGGAGATCAGAAGCGAGATCTTTTCACTAGATTACAACAAAAAGATCATGGATCCTTACTCGTTAGTGTCTCCTTCGGCTTATGACATGGCTTGGTTGGCCATGGTCGAAAACGATCCTCGAAACCCTAGCCGTGAGCCGATGTTTCAAGATTGCTTAGAATGGATTCTTAGCAATCAAAATGGTGTCGAAGGGTACTGGGGAAATTGCGACGGACACGGGAATCCAACCTCGGAGACTCTAACCTCGACACTCGCTTGTCTCTTAGCCCTTCACAAGTGGAACTGTGGGAGTCGTCATATTGAGAAAGGTACGTCACAGTGTTTACGTACAAAACTTTATTCCCATTGAAAGCTATGTGTCATATATATAAACCATTTTTCAAGATTTCTGACATTCTCAAGTAACAAAGATTTTAGATATTGTATGTACGAATTAAATCTCTCATACTAAAACGATTCATTTTTTTAATTTCTGCATATTGCATAACGTTTTCATAGTTTCTAGTCATTTTATAAGTTTATGTAAAAAAAATTTCATGAAAAATAGCTCCTGAAAAAACTTAAAATTTGTGTAACTCTTACATCCTCTTGATTGTACTATGATTAGGTATGAGATACATGGAAAGATTTACAGAAACAGTACTTGAGGGTTTCACCAACGACGGATCTTTTCCTCGTTGGTTCGTAATCATGTTCGGTGGAATGCTCGGACATGCTCAAGAACTTGGCTTAGAATTCGCCTTCTCTAATCGATCCAACAAACTTATCAAACATCTCTTTCACAAATACTTCGATATTTTCCAAAGGTACGTACTTTGTCGCTTTATCACTCTCTCTATCATTAAAGCCAGTTATGATCACTGGTTCACACGTAAAATCGCCTAAAAGGGTTCCGAGATTTTTGGTTTTGGTTATATCTTTTAACCGTTTTCGTTGATGAAATTTTCCAGAGAGAAACTCGTGGATGACCATAGCCATTACCCTCTAGTGGCATATCTCGAAGCATTGCCTTCGACGCACGTCGTGAATCAAGACGAGATCACTCAGAGCCTTTGTGCCGACGGCTCGTTGCTTGGATCGCCTTCTGCTACTGCAGCTGCTTTCATGATCACACGGAATCCAAAGTGTCTGGCTTATCTTAAATCTCTCGTGCAGAGATGCCCTCGAGGAGGTTAATATTTAATGAGATCATAATCAATCACAAAAGTATACACTAATCAATTTCTCTATTTACTCAAAAACTGCCTATAAAAATACATGCACACGTCTCAAATGATACCTCATCTTACACATATATACACACGTTCTTATAACGTATGGAAGATATTTCAAAACATCATCGGTGTAATAATAATAAAAAATTAATTAGTAATCATATTACAAGTACATGCTACTTTTTCTACATAGCTTTAAGAAATGATGCTATTTTAACATGTGACAATATTTTTTTCCCGCCTTCAGTGCCGCAAACTTATCCTCTCAACGGAGAACTAATAAAGCTGTCGATGGTCAATCTGCTTGAGAGTTTCGGGTTATCAGAGTACTTCAGTGAAGAGATTGAACACGTTCTTCACCAAATTCACAGGTTAGGACCAAATCCTTTCCATAAATCTCTTACATTATGTGTTGTTCATACAAAAAAAAAACTTATTCACCAAAAAACAACAACAGGAGCTACGAAGACAAAGGCGAACACGAGGTGCCCATCAACTTGGCAGCAGAGAAGCTTCACAAAGACTCACTTGCATTCCGATTGTCACGTATGCATGGACGTGTGGTTTCTCCAAGTAAGAACCGACCGATTACTTGAATCAGTTTTTGATTAATGTGGATAATCAATATTAGGCTACGGCATGGTAATCATGTTTTCACATTTTCATTGCAGGGAGATTTTGCTGGTTCTTGAATGACGAAGAAATCCGCGGATACGTGGAGAAGAACCAAGAGTGTTTCTCTTCTGCTATGCTAAGCGTTTATAGAGCCACGGATCTCATGTTCCATGGAGAATCCGAACTCGAAGAAGCGAGGGATTTCTCTTTACAGTTGCTTAAGAGTACCGGGTTTATCAACGAACAAACGGTACGAAAGTAACCAAAAACATGTTGAATGATTCAAGATTTTTCAAAATGGGTTAATATAATATCGACACAATAATGAACGGGTCGTAGGTTAAGCATGAGACGAGTGTTTCTTGGATGGCACGTCTCAGACATCTTGAACATAGAATGAGGATCGAAGACAAAGACTCAAACGCCCTATACACGGGAAAGGCCTCACATATAAGGTATATATATATACACCGATATTCTTCTCTAGACTTTAACATAAAGCCGCGATATCTTGAAGTTAGAAGTGGATACAAATGTCCGAATATCAGATACCCGGATATATCCGTCTTTCACGGGTATGTGACGGTTTTTTATTACCCGTCTAACATATATGAATATATACGAATAATTAAAAACTGATGACGGATATACATTTGTTATGAATATGTGTATATATATATGTATACACACACTCATGTTAACTCTATATATTTACTCTGATTTTTTCGGGTGTCAACTCATTTCTCAATATGATACTTTTTTTGTAATAAATTTACATATATTTCTAAATAATTTTCGGATTCTGATACCCAAACTCTTTGCAAAACGTTTATATTAGCGATCTAACGCAGACGTCTGAAGCAGATTACACAGTCTATATAGCAACAAGCTGACTCATCTCGCTTCGAGGAACTTCGAGTTCCGACAGTCCATTTATAGACGTGAGCTAGAAGAATTGAAAATGTAAGTTCATACAAAGCCATGATCATCCTCGTATAAATCCAATAAATTTTCAGTCTTATAACTATTTATTGGTCGTTTTTTGTTAATAAATCTAAAATCAGATGGGCGAAGAAATCAGGGCTTAGCGATATGGGATTCGGGAGGGAGAAGACGGCATACTGTTATTACGCAGTAGCGTCGAGCTCTTCGCTGCCATGCGAATCAGTTCTACGCAACATCATTGCGAAGAGTGGCATTCTCATTACAGTTGCTGACGATTTCTTCGACGAAGAAGGTTCTTTGGATGAATTAAACGCTCTTACCAATGCCGTTCTCAGGTTAAAATCTTTATATTATAATATTATATCATATGATATATCATATTTATATTCAATTCAATAAGAATCAGAACTCTTTCGTCGTGTGATAGATGGGAAGGAGAAGAGCTGAAAGGACACAGCAAGATCATATTTGGAGCACTTGACGATCTTGTCAGAGAGATGGCAGAGACGTGCCTTGATCTACACGGAACCGACACAACTGTCTATTTGAGGGACATCGTACGTGTCTTGGGTTTGACTTTCAACCGTTTTTTTCTTTTGTTTTTTTTTCAATCATTTTTTATTTGACGGAAAACTGATTATCACATTCAAAGTTTTGTTTTAATTGCCCAATTACTCATATTTTATAGAATCATGCTTTCACAAAAGCATATACAATATCCACACTAATAATTTTATTTTAAAAAAAAACAGCCGATAAAAATCATGTCTTTTTCCAACGTGTCAACAAATATTTTAAAAGAAATACAGAACTCCTTAATTAAGCATGTCCCATATTATAAGCATAGACACTTTCTATCGAGTATTAATTTATTCTACTCATCAAATAATAAAGTTTAAAGACACAAGAATGATATTATTGGGGATTTGCTATACGGTTTTAATGGGCATGTAACTGACTAAAATAAGAGTAGGTGTCTTGATTGGCTAATTAGAGTAAACAACGGGGTCATTTTGCAATTATCTGAACCTCTATGAATATATCAACGTTTTGCAGTGGAAGGAAACATTCGTTTCGTGGCTACGTGAGGCAGAGTGGGCGTCGGAAGGATACGTACCAAATATGGACGAATATATTCGAAACGGGATGATTTCGATCGCTACACATACTATTGTTCTCACGTCTTCTTGTTTGCTCGATCAAAGTTTGCCTAACCACACGCTCGAGTTCGAAGAATACGAAACCCTAACAAGATTGCTCATGGCCATTCCTCGTCTTCTCAACGATCTCCAGAGTTATCGGGTGATTTTCCCTTACACTTAATTTGATCTTTTACATATTCATTATAGATGGAAGATTCATCGAATTATACATTTACAATAACGTTATTTTTAAAAAATATATTACATTATAATGCATTTCGGTAAAAGTAGAGACAAATAAGTAATCGGTTTTGGTCTCGTTCCCACGGTTTTTTAGGGACATTTTTTCGATCTCGTTCTCGCGAGATTTAGGTATCCAAGACTCAAAAACTCATCGCTGAAGTCGGATTTTCGTAAATGTTTTTTGAAATTATTTGAACTTTACATGTATATAGTTACATATTGATAAAGTTGGGGTGCTAATCCGGAATATTTGGTAAACTGGGGGTGTTTTGTGCAATTTGTTATAACACTCATAAGATGCGTCATCACCATGATGCAAAACTGCAGAAAGAACAAGAGCAGGGGAAGATAAACTCAGTCCTGCTCCACATGAAGAAGAACGACTCAAGAATCGAAGATTCGATCGCTTACATCGAAGGGATCATCGACACGAAGAGGAAAGAGTTTCTCGAACATGTTCTGATGGACGGTTTCAGCGATCTGCCCAAACAATGCAAGGAACTGCATTTGTCGTGTTGCAAGGTGTTCGAGGTGTTCTTCAACGACAAGAACAGATACGATTCAGAGACAGAGATGCTTCAAGACATCCGAAACGCCCTTTACGATCCGATAAACGTTACCGAATTCGATCCGCCATTGATGGGCCATGGTAAACCCGTGATCGTTCCTCTTCCTCCGAAGAATCCTCAGATTTCTCAATCATATCCGGAGAAGAAGAAGTTTCCGGCGATCAAATCGCGTCTTTATCCTCGACATTTCCATAACCAGAAACCGGGTTTCGATTCGAAGCTCTCTCTTCGTAAGCCTCTTGGGCTCATTGCGCAGAGGAACACAGCTATGATGCCAAGATTCTCACCATGTTTCTACTGAATCAGATTCTGGATTTGTCGCTATATAAGTTGTGTTTGAGGTTTGAATAAGTCATCATATCCAAGTCTTTTTCCTCTGTGTTTTGTCTTTTTCTGTTTAACAAAAAAAAAAAAAAAATCATCAATGTCAACATTAATACACATGCAGTGATTTGTAATAGATTGTCTTCATTCTATCTTTCCATTTGCTTCTTGATTAAATTTACCTGTTTCCAAAAGAATCACGGAAAAAACATACCGGTTATTTTTAAATGTCCTTTTGACTTTAAACACACATTAAAATTTTTTTTTTTTGTCCAAAATACCTTTTTTAAATTAGTTTCTTTTTTCAATACTATTTTTCTCGCTTATTAAGGGTGATTAAGGGGCAAATTTGGAAAAAATGTAAAAAAAATAACTAGAAAATCTAAAAAGGTAATTCAAGGGCACCTCTGGTTCTGGATTTTTTTTTTGTTTTTTGTTTTAAATGATATATATACACACACACGACACGAGGAAATTAGACCCAGGCCCAGGCCCAGTTTAAGGCCCATGACCGATCCTTTAACAATTTGATGTTGGATCACCCGACCCGGAAATTAAACACGGGCTTTGTGGGATCCAAACCCGGGAAGAAGAAAAATGATGAGGGTGGAAGATATTGCAGACAATCTAGAAGCAAAGGATTTCAGAATCTACATCAAAATATCGCAGAACAATTTCCCAGGAATCGTCCCAAGGCTCTCGATTTCTCCAGGTATTATTTTTCCCGGGGACGTTTAAGCGCATTCTCTGTTCGTACTCTTGTTGTCAAATCCCTAGATTTTCTGGGCTTCCGCGTGATCGCGAATTGGGATTTTTGTGAGATTAATTCTGGTCGTGGAAGTGAATTCGGATTGGTTTCTCATGGAAGATTCGTTCTTTTTTGTTCATGGGTAGGTAATGTTTTGTACTGGTGACTGGTTCGAGATGGGGGTCTCACTGGTGTACTAATGTCAATGTTCTGGTTTGTTCTTCATCAGCTTGCAGAGTACGAATCAACGATGGTAATTCGATTTCTCTCTCCTCACGTTTTCTTTGTACTGGTATTTCGATGATAATTTGAGGTAAGAACTTGTAAATGGGTCTTCTTTTTCCATCTTATGATCTTGATTCTTGACCTGACTTGTCTACAGGCTACCTCGAAGAAAGTGATTACAAAGGAAGAGTGGGAGAAGAAGCTAAATGGGGTGATAATTAGGAAAGAAGACATGAATAGATTGGTGATGAATTTTCTTGTGACAGAAGGGTACGTAGAAGCCGCCGAGAAATTCCAAATGGAGTCTGGAACTAAACGTATCCTTTCCTGATTCGGGTTTAATTCTTGGTGGATTTCGTTGTTTCGATCTTTGGTAGCGGTTTAGATGTTAGCGCTGTCTAGCCGTTTTTCCTCATCGAGGAATAGCAGAAATAGATCTCGCAACGATCACAGATCGCATGGCGGTTAAAAAGGCGGTCCAATGTGGAAATGTCGAGGATGCTATTGAGAAAGTCAATGATTTAAATCCTGAGGTACGGAGCTTCTTCTTCTATAGCTTTTCCTCTTCACATGAAATGTCCTCCTTGGAACCGTAAGTTATATAGGTTTCCACTCAGAGATTATGAATCTGAATCAACAGTGATCCTAATCAAATCAATTGGCTTGTGCCCCTTATGCATATCACCTTGAATTTAGTAATTGGCTTGTGTTTCAAGATAAAGTGGAGGCTATTTGATTCTGTAATGTGATTCCTTTCTGGTCATAGTTTATCTTCATCATAGTAGAACTGTCGTGTTTGCAGATATTGGATACAAATCCCGAATTGTTTTTTCATCTTCAACAACAAAGGTTGATAGAACTGATTCGGCAAGGTAGGATAGAAGAGGCCTTGGAGTTTGCTCAGGAGGAGCTTGCACCTCGTGGAGAAGAAAACGTACATCTTCTTCCGACTTTCTGTTTCCTGCTTGTATATTTCATGTTTCCGATTCTCTTTTTTTTTTTTTGTTATTTCATCTGTTTCTGTTATCTCTTTGCAAGCTCATATGCTTTTTTATTGCATCATCAAAGGCCCATTTGAACTCCTCTTGTAAATAATGTTGGGAGCTGTATCTTTCTGCAGCAAGCGTTTCTGGAAGAGTTGGAGAGAACAGTTGCCCTGCTCGTCTTTGAAGATGCCTCTACCTGCCCAGTCAAGGAGCTTCTTGACATTTCACATCGCCTTAAAACCGCAAGTGAAGTGAATGCAGCCATTCTCACGAGCCAGAGTCATGAGAAAGGTAAGTTTTGACATTCTTTTGTGTTTTAGTCTCCAAAATCTGCTTTTATATGAAACATTCTCCATTTCAAGAGGCACGACTCTTGTCTAAAAGCTGTCTTTGGGATTCTTTTGGAGCTCGTTCCAACTTATGAGACTAGAACTCCTGTTCAAACTGATTTGATTAGCTCTTTCAATCTGGAAAACATGTATCATCCTAGTTTCTTTTTAAAATTTGTCTAAATGGGCAGTGTACTTGATGATGATGTTCTGTGTGTGAACAACAGATCCAAAACTTCCAAGCTTGTTGAAGATGCTGATATGGGCACAAAATCTACTGGATGAAAAAGCAGCGTATCCTCACATAAACAATTTGTCCACTGGCCAACTCGAAGACCCCCCTGTTTGATTTCACAATCCACACTTCCTTCAGCGAGGGAACAGTGAAATGGTGCTTCTTCTACACTTCCAATCAAATTGCCTCTTAGGTTCAGAACGTTTAGTGAATTGCTGTCTGCTTTCCCCTTTGTTCTGCATCTGAATTTGTTGGAACCATCATTGTTTAGGATATGGCCCATATGGAAAGGGGACATAAGCTGTTGTAGGATAATGAATAACTCTGTGAAATATTCTGATTGTCTTCAAGCTCTATGCAATTGAATTGAGTACCTCATATATTGTACCAAAACATATCTATGGAACAGTCTTGTTTCTTCCAAATGACACGAGAAACATGAGGAACATACGAATCTTTGGACGTGTTTTTCATTGTAATTGGCTTTTTGGGCATTACTTGTACCATATGAATGGCATTGTTGATTTGGTTGCTTTCAACGAACTCGAGACCTATTTGGGATTCCTTTGCTTTCTGTAATGATCGATCTTGATGAAGAAGTGAGTGTAACACAAGAAATCGTCGCCACCGCCATTCTCATCTCCATGTTCCTCGCCATGGCTATTTTCGAGAGATTGATTCGACCCACCCCTTCTCGGGCCTCTCCGGGTCGAATCCCGTCGGGTTTGGATTCTCGGGTCGGGTTCAATGGCACCAAGCTCGGTTTCCAATCTCCCAAGGCAAGTAGTTTCCTTTTTCTTCCTTGCCAAACAGAAAAAGGAGAGAAAATGAGTACAAGTCCCTTCTTTTTCGGTTTATGTCCACTGCATGCGTGTGAATTCGTCTCGGGTTTTGACCTAGTTCCCCCATCTCGGGATTTCGCCGATGGAATCTTGAGAATCGAATCAATGTCGACAAGATTCAACAAAGACAACATAATAAACCCAAGTGATGTTCTTGACATCGCCGGAGAATCTTTGAGGAGATGCTCCTCCGCCGTCGTCGAAATTCAATGCATAGCTTGAAGGATCGTACTGAAACCTCAACTGTTTCTTCTTCTTCTTCACTCCGCCGCCGCCGTTGTTCCTCACCGCCTTCTTTACCGCCGCTTTGGCCATCCAAAAGACCTTTTTCCGGTACCTGTTAACAGCTTCAAACCTCTCCTCCAATCTCATACTCAAAAGCCCTTCTCCGATGTCAACTCTCAGAGCAAAAGGGTCTCAGAAAAAATGTGTTTTGGATTTAAAAAAAAAGGAATGAAATGAAGACAAAGTGAGCAGCTTTATTGAAGCCCTCGTGAAGAATTTACGCGGGGGTGCAGAAGTTGTTCACTTTTTGATACGATTCACGAGAAAAGGTGATATGGAGGATGAAGCAGAGGAAGAAGAAGAAGAAGAACTGCAACGCAATTCACAATGACAGTGAAGCGTATCAAAAGCCCTTCTCGATATGAACTCTCAGAGCAAAAGGGTCTCAGAGAAAATGTGTTTTGAATCAAAAACAGATTGAAATGAAGACAAAAGTGAGCCAGCTTTATTGAAGCCCTCGTGAAGAATTTACGTGGGGATGCTGAAGTTGTCCACTTTTTGATTCGATTCACGAGAAAAAGTGATATAGAGGACGAAGAGGAAGAAGGAGGGGGAGGGGGAGAGGAAGCATTGGGCAGAGAGCCTATAACGTCACTTTCAGATTCTCCGTTTTTATTTTTTTCGACTGTTTGTTTGTCTGCTACTATCTCAACGAATCAACATTCCCTTCTGTCTCCCTTTTGTTCCTTATGGCAAAATCCCCCCCCCCCCCT